TGTTGTGAGAGCCTCCCGGTTCAGGTAGGGTCGCAACTGGCGCACCAGGCGAACCTGGGCAAATGCGATGAGTGGTGGGTTTCAAAAATTTTTAGGACCTCTTCTGTAGGTGTGGCCTGCTTTGTGGGAGTGGCTTGTTAGCCATGTGACCCAGTTTGGGTGCTTGTCCGTCATGTGACTGGGTGGGCATGGCCAACTTGTAAAATGTGGTGAAACTCACTTAACAATGCTCTTGCTTAGCAACCAAAATGTTGGCTCAGAAACTCTGGCATTTGAAGCATGCAAGTCTTAAAGTTGTCAAGTTACAAGACCCTTTTGCACCCCAAATCCTTAAGAAAAAAAAGCCTCAGGGGTGTTCAAACTTGACAGCTTTAAGACTTGTGGACTTCAACTCCCAGAATTCCTCCTCTCACTCTTCATCTTTATGATGTGCGGATGGGCGCGGGGAGGGAGCTGGAACCGGTTCTAAATGGTACTGTAGATTTGTGGAACCTCTTCTATAGAAGAGGTTAGAACTGGCAGGAACCCAGCCCTGGCCCACTTCCTTCCATCGAAGTACAGTATCTCTGGGGCTTCATTCAGTAGAAACATCTCTCTCTCTTGTTTGGATTCACAACTTTTGGTGGGATTTTGAGAGCGTGGCTCTCTCTCTCACACAAAATGGCTGCCCTCCGGGATGGCATTCCCGATTCCTAAAATGGCCGTCGATATGACTACGTCCAGAGCCAAGACAGAGACCCCACTCCAAGCAGAGGTTAACCAGAAGGTCTGCTTCACGCAATCTTCTCAAGGTCCTCTCTAAAATTTCAGCTTAGCTTTGCCTTCCTTCTCCTGGTGGAGACGGGCAAACATCCAAGCAACGAAGCCCACCCACACCCCCTTCCCACAAACTCGTTCCTTATTTCTTTTTTTTTTTAAAGCCTGCGGAGGGAACTCAAAAACACATTCTTCTTTCTAAAGAGGATTGAGATTGGCACTTTGATTTCAAGCTTGCCCAGTTTCCATCGTAACGACACGTTTTGATAAATTAAAAAAATGGGAAACGGATGGACCTGGGGGAGTTGACGGATGCCAAGGAAGGCGTCCTTGGATGTTTGGATCATCACGCCGTGTGGGCAGTTAGAAGGACTCTCCATCCACCCACCCACCTCCATCTCCTTCAATCTACGTTGCTTCTCCGATGGGCAACCTGCCCTGCATCCCACCAACCATCCCGGGATCCGTGTGTCGCCCGGAGGACGGAGTTAATTAAAAGATGCAAGGC